TCAGTCAGTCAGTCAGTCAGTCAGTCAGTCAGTCAGTATATTTGAGGAAAAAGTAGGCTTGCGTCTTTGAACTCTCTATTTGTCACATCAAAATCTCAAGAGTTATAAACAATCGTAACAAGTTTTCAGTCAGGAAAATACAGACCGTCACATGGTGCAGTGGTGTTTCGAGGCTAATTTGCCACTGTTCCCGTCACATGGTGCAGTGGTGTTTCAAGGTTAATTTGTCACATAGTTCACGGATGTTGTAGCATGTGTTATATCAAGTCGGTGTTTGAATGTCTCCACAGATTGGGACATAACAATCGCCTCGAATGTGAATGAATGTGATTGGCTAATTCATTTGACGTCAATCTTGCGTACTGCGGTCGGCATGTAGGCACCATTTTGTGGTAAAGCCCGCCGTTGTTCACACGAGGACGCCGACTCTCATTGTTGTGCCTGCATTTCCGGTAAATTTACTGACCATTTGCTGTTTTCTTCTAGGATGTGGAAGCCTAAGTCTATGAGAACTATAAGGAGACAATCTAAATGCGATTATCTTGCATAATCAACTATAAAATAGCGCATGCTATTAGACTGTCATCTCGCATATAAATCCACCCATTTTGGTTTAGCTATTTTCATCCATTGAAATAGATTCTGTTTTTAAACACCAAGATCTTGTTTCCATTTATCTAAAAAATACAAAATATTTCCTGTGTCATGATCACACCCCAATGGGGTGAAGAATAGCGTCGAGTTCTTCTAATAAAGTTGTAAATTCGCCGCAACTGGCTCAAGTTCCTGGTCGTGGCCCTAGGAAGACTAGGGAACCATGTACTCTTACTCCTGGCAAGCCTGGGTTACCGCTCCCCAGTACTGCAACCATCTCCCTCCCCCTCAAGTCACCAGACATCCCCGTCTACTTCCAACTTAGATGCTTCGCCAGTTGCCATAGCTAATAATTCTGGTAGCCCTCCTTGAAATTCCAAAAATTCCTCTACGTCAGGTAGACCAGCAGCTTCGTTACTTGACCGGAGTCCTTCCGAACCTCCTATTAAATCACCCAATTCAGGTCGCCGAAATGGTGTGATCCGGAATCCAACCGCAAGCATGCAGCCTTCCCAAACACTAACTAAGCG